TTGGGGAGTGGCAGGGCATGTGGGATTTGTGGAAGAGTTTTTTCCAAGGGGTTTGAGCAGGGGCCACCATATACCAGCCCTCCCATCTGCCCCCTGTGCTGCCTAGGCTGTGGCCCAGCTGCAGGCACAGTGATGGCATGGAACTGCCTGATGCAGGTTCTGTACATGCTGAACAGACCTGGCCCAGCCCAGTCTACTAGTGCACAGCTAGTGCATGGCCCGGCCTGCCCTGTGTGCTATTGGGGCAGGCTGGGCCATGTTGGGTTCATTGAGCATGTACAGAGCCCGCATCAGGCAGTGCTGTGCCACTGCTGTGCCTGCAGCCAGGCCATGGCCATGTTGGCTGCTGCTGCCAACACTGTGGGGGTGGAGGGCAGCACATAGTGGCCCCTGCTCAAGCACTCCCACAAACCACTCCACAAATCCACACCCCAGACACACAGGGCTAGCAGCCAGCCAGGTCATGCCCACTGCACTGCTGTCTCACCCATGCTCTGTGCATGGAGAACAGGCCTGGCTGAGCCCAACTCAGCCTGGCCTGCACCTTTGGACAGGACTGGGATGACTCCTGCCACCACCTACAGCTCCTGTCCACAGGCAAGTGCTAGTGGGTGGACAGGGCTGGGCCCTTTCTCCATGAGGGTGAGCCAGTGATATGCAGGGCTGTGCTGACAGTGGGCCATGACCTTCATGTCCCAGCTGGCTGCTGCTTCCAGTACCGAGGGATGTGTGCCACAGGGGGTGGGGAGCAGGTGTGTGGCAGCCCCCTCCTGCAAACCCCACATTTCCCCCCACCCCCTCCTGCAAATTCCACACACCCAAAATCCCCCACCTCTCTCCTGCAAACCCCACATCCCCCCACACCTACCCCCATGCCCCACACACTCCACACCACCCCCACACCCATCCACATCTCCCCACATCCATATACACACTGCATATCCCCCCCACACACACCCTCCCACACAACCCACATCCTGTCCTACCCCTGTCCTGAAACTTCCCACCTCCCCACAGGAGCGGTGGCTACAGGGGCTGCTGTCCTCACATCCTGGTTAGTGAAGGGATCAGGGGAGCGCTAATTTTTCTATGATAAGAAGGGCAAAGCAAACATCAAACCATATAGATATTTAGAATTGATTTTATTATGATGATAGATCTACTGGTAGGCTTCCAAATTTCCTTAAAAGTGCAAATATATCAATAAAACATTGCCCAACTGATCTAGTGGTCTTTTGTTTTAATTGTAGAAGATCATGGATTTGGGGGTAAAAAGTGGATTTGAGATTTTTGTCAGAGAATTTTCAGTTTTTAGATAAGGAACATCAGGTTTCCTGCTAGTGAGGTAAGTGGCAGGACCCAGGCAGAGGACCTTGCTGAGGGCTGACACAAGGGACCCAGCTGGAAGGCAAATGGGGTGGCTGATCTCTTGGCCATTTGGGACCAGGAGGACATGCTTTGACAGTTCAAAGTAGGCCACCACACTGAAAACATCTTCCAGGCAGTAGCTGCCCAGATAGCAGAGTGGGGGCACACATGGAGTGAAGATTCAGGACGTGAAAGGCATGCTTCAAACGGTCATCCAGCCCACCGATTATTACCCCATGGTCCTAGTC